ACTGTGGCTGGCTTAGGTGAAGGAAACGAGGTACAGTATCGAGCCGTCAAGAGCCCTGGTGGTACACTCACCAGTGAATGATAAGGTCAGCGGTTTGAACCCCCCAGTTGCTCTACAGGGAAGAGATGAGGTAGTCTGCTTCCCTAAAGGCTGCAGCCTTGGAAAGCCAGGGTGGGGGTACGGGGTGCGGTTCTACTCTGTCCTGCAGCATGGTAGGACCCCCTCAAGGGCAGTGGGTGGGGTGGATGAGTGAGAAGGCCCCGGAGGAAGCTGACTAGGAGGCGGGGTGAGTGGAAGGGCAGCGAGGCTGTCACAGAAGTGACTCAATTCCCAACGTCAGAGTTGGTGAAGAGTTGGCAAGAGCCTTGGTGCCACAGTGGCTGCGGGCATGGGGTGGCTTACGCTAAGGGCAGCAGTTTGAAACCACCAGCTGCCCGGCGGAAGAGAGATGAGGCTTTCCACTCGCATTGGGAGTCACGGTCTTGGAAACCCCCAGGGACAGTTCTGTCCTGCCCGGCAGGGCTGCTGTGCGTCCAGGTGGACTCCGTGGCAGTGAGTTTGGTTTTGAGATTGGCGTGTGGCTTCCAAGGCTCTGCCTCCAGCGGCTGAGCCTGTAGCGGAGTCGGGCGGCGACTGGTAGGGGTCCTGGGAGCGGCAGGGGTCCGGGCACTTCCGGGACGGATAATGACGCCACAGGCTCTTGTCCTCAGGGACTCTTACATGCCACTGAAGGTGCGGAAGGAAGTACGAGACAACTCGAAGGACTCCGAGTACTGGGAGGCCCTGGCCCAGGTTCTCCCGGTCTCCAGGCAGAACCTCTGGGACGCGCTGTATGCGGCCTTGGAGAAGTACCAGTGAGTGCTGCGTCCCGAGGCCCGGGGGCCGAGGGTGGGGAGGGGGTGGGGGGGATGCGGGGAGGGAACCTGCTGGACAAGCAACCCCTAGGAGCAGTTCTACCTCATGACACTCATGAGTCAAATGGCTTTGGAAGCCATGCGTTTAATGTGGTTGGTTGGTTAGCTGGTGTGCGTGTGTGCACCCAACCACCCAGAGAAGGAGGGAGCCAGAGAGGCAGGAGGGGAAGGCTCCTTCTTGGGGTGGCCACCTTGGTGGGTCCTAGGAGATCTGGGAGGGGCACTGCCTTTGGCTGCAAGGACAGGTCCTGCCCCCCAAAATCTGAGGGACTGGGGAGGGGCGCGAGCTTCTGGCTTCTCACCCTCCCCACCCCCTCCATCTCAGGCAGAGGCTGGAGGACCGAGTGGACCTCTAACCCGGTTTCTGCCCACAGCCTGATCCTGACCGAGAGGGCCAAGCTGTTGGTGGAGAACAGCTCTCTGGAGCAGCAGAACACAGAGCTCCAGATGCTGCTGCAACAATATCTAGGCTCCAAGGTGGGTGCAGGGACCCTCTTTAAGAGGAGGCACAGGCAGGGGTTGGGGCTGGAGCGGATGGTGGGCAGTGAGGAACCTCTCCCCAATCCGAGACCAGTGAGCTTTGCCGTGTGAGGCCAAAAGTTGACAGTCGGGCCTCAGGTCGGTGCAGACCTTCTAGCCAGGGCTGGGCATCGCCTGCTGTCTCCTCCAGGACCCTGGGCGCTGTGCCCATGGGCGGTGGGGTCAGCAGTCTTTCCCAGAGCCCCACGCAAGCATTCTCTCCCCGACCCTCACTGCAGCCCCTCTGGGGGGAGCTGGGGCAGGCGGGGCAGACATTAGTTATATTCCCCATTTCAAAAAGCACCATGACTTGGAGACCTGTGGCCCGCCCAGGTGTGCTGGCATGAGGAAAGGGGCTCCAGCAAGGCTGCTGTCCCCTGACCCTCCCCTGACAGCTGTGGCAGGTCCCCTGGGCCCCGGAAGTCAAGAGCCCCTGCCCTCTCTGCTACAAGGGAGCGTCCTTCCATCACCACCTACTCTGCTCCACTCTGCTGCGGTGGGGTTCTTCTCACGGATGTTGGGGCCGTGGCCACGAGGGCTGTGACACCTGGCCGAGCACAGGTGCTCAGCTGTGTGAGAGGTGACAGGCCGGCCACAAGTCCACGTGCTGGGGCTGGGAAGGTCTCAGGGCCTGGGCCACACCCGAAACGGGACCCAGTGAGAGTGGGCAAGGAGATGGCCTCTTGGCCTGTGACAGGGACTCAGACATTTGGGGACCATTTGGCCCATGCTCCCACCACTGCCACTGTGTACAAAAGGATGGGAGGTGGACATCAGGGTGGGCTGGGCAAGGCCCTTGATCAGGGGAGAGGCGAGGGTCTAGGAAGCTTGAGTTAGAGGACTGCCGACCACAGTGCCTGCGGTGAGCCCTGTGGAGCAGAAGCTAAAGGCGGCCTAGGATTGATTTGTCTTGATGGGAGGCTGACTGCGGGGCTCCACAGACCTCTTTCAGCCTGGGCAAGGAAATGCATTCAGGGACTTGGGGACCCAAGTGAGAGCCAGTGTCTACTAGGCCTGACCCCACAGAGGTCGTGGGCAGTGGCCTGGAGGAAAATCTAAATCAGCACCTTTCTTTCTTTTCCAGATAAACTCTCAACTGCAGGTCCCTCCCACCCAGGTGTTCCGAGTACCCAACAAAGAGAGCTAGGTCAGAAGGCGGGTGTGTCTGCGTCCGTGGGTGTGGGTGCCGGCTGGCGCGGGCACAGGCTGCCCCACAGCTGTGCTGTGGATCTGGCCTGTTACAATGTTGGGATTAAAGTCCTGAATCTCCTTAAGCTCTCTTTGATGTGTAATCTCTGTCATCTCCCAGGAGACCCAGGCTCTTCCTCTGCCAGGAGGGGATTCCCTGGGAGAGATGGAGGTGAGCATTGAGGGCATCAGGAGCCTGGTATAGTGGGGCCAACTCATAGGGCTGCGAGCCACAAGGTTGGTGGTTCAAGCCCAATCACTGCTCCTCGGGAGAAAGATGAGGTTTTCTACTCCACTGCAGGGTTACAGTCTCACAGGGTCAGTTCTACACTGTCTTGCAGGGTCACTGTGAGTTGGAATACACTCGATGGCAGTAGGTGTTCTGTTGTTGGTTTTAGGGGTGTGGCATTTGCGGTCCCTGGGTGGAGGCTGCAGCTCTTGGGCATCTGGGGGGTGCTTTCAGTCCCAGAGGAACGCCTGGGGGCCCCAGTGTGCACACATGGGGAGGGCCATCCCGGGTTCTCCCTGTGGGCGGCCACAGTGGGAGAGCTACAGGGGCAGCTGGTGCTGAGTTACCCACCGTGGGGTGCCATGGACCCCGACCCCCCACCCCCATGCCGGGGCTCGCCCTCCACTTGGGCCATGTAGACTTCAATTCTGTGTTTGAGTCCTTTTATTAAGAGACAAATCACCACTCCAGAAAGGAAAACAGCTGACAGGAACCCGGCTTGGGCAGGCAGGGGGCACTGTAGAGACAAACTCCTGGGGCCGGGGGCTGGCAGGGTGGGCTCAGCAGGGCTGTGGGTGGGAGCCAGTGTCCACTCCCACTCTGCTCCTCCTCAGGCCTGTGGGCAGAGCCTGGACAGAGGGCCTGGTCCCAGGCCTGGTGCACGGGGACTTGCTGCAGGGGTGGCCAGGGTGAGGCGGTAGGCAGGAGCAGCCGCCAGCAGGCTCTACGGTTGGAACACAGAGCGAGCGCTACTTTGGTCTCCCCACTAGGTGGTACACTCTGCTTGCTCACCCTGGGAACGCTCTGGACACTGTCAGCAAAGCCCAGAAGGCCCTGGGGGTGGTCTGGAGCAGCTTCCTCTGCAGCCAGGGCCAGAAGGAGGGTCACACCTCAGCAAGGTGGCCTCAGAGGGAACCGTTTCACCCCCACCCCACCCCTCCCATCGCCCCACGGACAGGGAGGGAGGGTGGGCGGTGGCAGGCTCAGGGTGGCAAGGGGCAGAGTTTGGGCTTCACCAGCCCAGCGAGCACGGGGTAGGCTCTTGGGAGCCCAAGGCTGGAGGGTGGGCAGAGGGCCCCTCGGAACCCCCAGGGGAGGTGTGGGGGCAACAGTCCAAGCCATAGCTGTGGGGAGGAGGGGCCTCAGGCCCCCAGAAGCTTCTTGACCATGTAGCCAGGAAGGCTGTAGAAGAAGAGAGCCAGCATGAGCAGCCCCAGCAGGGCCAGCACAATCTTGATGATGAGCCACTTGTAGCGGGTGCAGATGAGGTATTTGATGGACTTGAGTGGGTTGAGGAACCAGACGAAGGCCGTGTCGGGCCGGCTGCGGGCAGGAGGAGCAGCAGCAATCAGGCGCCACCTCCCAGGGCAGCCTCTCCCCTCCGCCCGCCCTCCAACATACCAAGGATCCCTGTCGATACCCAGGTGTCCAGTGGTGAGTGGCAAGGCCAGGACACAAGCCCGCTTGTCAGCCTCAGGCTGGCTGGTTAGGAAGCCCACCCTCTGTGCAGGGCACCCACTCCTCTCATCACCTCCTTAAGGGCCTGCAGCAGATTGGGAAGGTGGCCATTTTTGGCCTCTGGCTGGGCACCAGCAGTGATAGGCGCCCACTCCCTGCCGAGGCAGCCTTTGAGCTGCAGCCCTTTGGATTATTAGAGAGCTCCTCCACTTGGTGGCTGATGGCCCGTGGTCTGGCGCACCGCACCGAGTGGAGCCTTGGGTCCTGAAGCCCTTGGGGTCAGTCCCCAGCTGTGTGTGAGGGGCTCCCGGTATTTCTAAGTCTCCCTTTCTCTGAGCACAAGCACTGCTGCCAAGGGCCCCAGGAGTCTGAGAGGGGTGTGTGCCAGCCTCCTTAGGCTGCCTTTCCCCTGGGCCTGGGTGGCTGTGTTATTTCTGCACAGCCTCCCTGCCAAGCAGTGCTCAATGAGCCGGGCTTTCTACCTGTGTTGCACAAAACACAGACTTTCTAAACTTCAGGATAGTAAATAACCAAACCCCCCAAAACCAAACCAAACTCACTGCCATTGAGTCGATGCTGACTCATAGCAACCCTATAGGACAAGGCAGAACTGCCCCTGTGGGTTTCTGAGATTGCAACTGATTATGGGAGTACAAAGCCGCATCTTTCTCCCACTGGAGCAGATGGTGGTTTCAAACTGCTGAACTTGCAGTTAGCAGCCTAAGGCATAACCGCTGTACTACCAGGGCTCAGGATAGAAAGAGGAAGTATTAAATTTGTCTTTTCAACTTCTTCCCCACCAGTTCCTCGAGGACAGGGGCAGTGTGGAGCCAGGGCTGCCAAGCATGGGCACAGGGGACGGGGCACCTGGCTTCTCATCCTTGAGCCTCAGTTTACTCACTTATGAACTCCCTCCTGGGGTGGGTGAAAGGTTAAGTGAACAGAGCATGCCCGTGCGATCAGTGCTGGACAGGGGGTGGCATTCGGGAAGGAAGGCCACGGCTAAGAACTGCCTGGCCAATGCCAGGCATAGCCATTCCCTCCTGGCCTCTCAAACCCAGGCCTGGTGATGGGGCTTAGCTCTCCTACCGGGGGAGGAAGTGGTGTAGCCAGACTCCTGTCCTAGCTCTACCCTAATTTTCTGGGTGACATTGGAAAAGTGACGTCACCTGTCTGTCTGGCCTTCTATGTAAATATGTAAAACTGTCATTACCAGTTCTGAGCCCATCATCCTATTTAGAAAGCTGGACAGTCACAGTAAATATGTGCTTGTATCTGTGTGTGTGCAAGGGTATGTGCAAATGTGTATGAGTGTGAGAGTGTGTGAATGTGTGTGTGAGTGTGAGTGTGTGAATGTGTATGTGTGTGTGAGAGTATTTGAATGTGAGCATGTGTGAACGTGTATGTGTGTGTTTGTGAATGTGTATATGTGTGTGAGCATGTGTGTGTGTGAATGTGTATGTGTGTGTGTGAATGTATGTGTGAGATGGTGTGTGAATGTGTGTGTGAGTGTGAATATGTATGTGTGAGTGTGTGTGTATGTATGTGAGCATGTGTGAATGTGTATGTGTGTATCACCACGTGTGTGAAAGTCTGTGTGTGTGAATGTGTATGAGTGTGTGTGTCTGTGAATGTGTGTGAATGTGTGTGTGAGTGTGGGTGTGCTGCACGTGCATGTGCGTGCCCTACATGCTCCCGAGCTGCTGAGCAGCCTCTTGGCCAGGTAGCCTGGCACCAAGCAGAGCAGTGGTTCTCAACCTTCCTAATGCCGTGACCCTTTCATACAGTTCCTTATGTTGTGGCGACCCCAACCATAAAATGATTTTCATTGCTACTTCATCACTGTCCTTTTGCTACTGTGAGGAATC